CCGCACCGCGCTCCGTGGGGAGGTGGCCCCGGACAACGGACTGGGCGCTGAGAGATCGCGCCCGGCCGCTGCAAATTCGGGGCAGAGCTTGATTTTGTGATCGGGAGTGATTGCAAGTCGTGTTTGGATACTGACAGAGATCGCTTTGTACTTAAGGACATGTACGCAATACATGCTTGATTTTACGATCGCTGTGCGACTCGAGGAGTTCGTTTGGACGACTAGCAAGCGAGGCCGCGCCTAGCGAGTGCCAGAGCTATGGGGAAACAGGGTTCATTGGCCGGTGCGGTCGTCCCGTTTTCCAGAGAGAGAGAGAGAGAGAGAGAGTGAGTGAAAGAGAAAGCGATGGACCGTCCAGTCCGTCCAGCCTGGAGTTGAGCCTTTCTGGGCGCAGCAGCCGACGTGCGCACTATCAGAAGGCCTTGATTTCGGTACCTAAATATTACCCCACCCCAACCCAGCTTCTTGTCTGTCCGTCACCGTTCCCGAAATGTATCTTAACAGAACGCTGTAATGTAAGCCGAGGCTGCGCAAGTGACATGTGTAGGTATGCTTATTACGACCAGTATCCACCCAAAATGGCTGTGTGTTCGCAATGTTTCGCTCCCACTTGCCAAAGCCATAAATCATTGCAAATTCACTAGCGTAATCTGCATGAACGAACAGCTCTCAATGGCTTTGCCCGTCCCCAGTTGCACAAGGCGTCAGTCTTACTCTGTGAACAGCCGATTCCCAGCTGCACGCGTAGCCCACGCCCTCCCCTGTGTTCAGCGAAGCTTGGGGCATGTTTGGCAGTGGTGGTCTGGTGGCGTGGCGTATGATGCCAGAGACGTCTAGAAACCCGCTCAGGAGTAGGAAGCAGCACCAAACTCAATACAAGTGGTCATTCACTTGTCAGTTTTATCGTTCGACACCGGAAAGTGTGTGTGCGGGAGGACTTCGTGACGTTAGTGGTGACGCGTCTGGTCAGACTTTATCATATAGTCGGACACCGGATAGTGTGTGAGGCACTGTGACGTCAGTGGTGACGCCAGATAGGGGCGCTGTGACGTCTGGTCGGATTTTATCGGATAGTTGGACACCAAATGGTGTGCAGAAGAACGCCTGAATGTATCAAATATATTACGTGTTTTTCGTATAGAGGGAACAGCAGGAGCGGCCGAGACTATCGTTCTTCTATCGAGACTATCGGCGGAGAGATGTAGCCAGTATCTGTTGTTCGCATACGTGACCCTGCCAAAAGCGCTCTTACCCCCACTTTTTCGATGGATGGTAAAGAAACCCTTTCACAAAAGCGGGCTCTCAGAATCCACATGGGGATATTGCTGGCCATGATGCTGAGACAATGCACGTGCGTTTGGGCACGTTTCATGTGTGCATGTGTCAAACACGTGTGCGTCCTATACGCGTGAGCGTGCATGCAGACCGTGCGCGTCGGTCCAAACCACTGCCGCGTAGCCACGAGCCGGCACGCGCGGGTGCGAGTGCGGACACGGTACAGAGGACCTCCCCATCGAGCTGTTGACGCACTGAAACTAGCTTACACCAGCACGATGAAGACACGCTTCGGCAGGCGGTTCAGTGTGTTGGTGGACACAGCGCAGAAACGCATTAGATGCCGACCAGCTATCGTTTCGTAAAGGCGAGAGCGGATGTATTAGAAACGGCTAGTGATGTGTTCACCGTGCATGAAGGACTCCAAACCACCAACTATTTCCAGCTCCGCTGTAGTTTCTAGCGCCATAGTCGCCCAAAGGAACGCAAACATCTCTGTCACGCAGCCGGCTCGAGGGAGCTCTCGCACTGAGCGCTCCAGCGCAGAAATGATGTCAGCCGGGTTGTTAACTGGCCGCTCCGGTTCGCCGTTTTTATAATGCGGACTGGGAAGACGAGCGGCGATGCAGCTCCCTGGCGTTCCTTAAAAGTTCAGCAGAAAACAGTACTAGTTGTCATGTTATTAGATCAGTCATTGACTACATCATATCAGATCAAAGGTCAATTTATCCAAAAAATCGTACTTTTCAGCTTTACAACATCGTTCAAAAGTGCGTTCTTTTCACACGTCGTACATCAGTTTCGTGTCACCATGCCTCTGGTGAGACGAAAGCTAAAGTAGGCGTATTCCTTGTTCAATTATGAGTACAAGTTGTGTCTATTTTTGTGTGTTATGATAGTATTTATGACATATGGTTCAGTTAAGTGAGTGTTCCACATTTGTATGGGGTTTTGAACAGCAAAAGCCATCTTGAAAATCATTCGGTGCATTTCACAGCCCTCATGATAACGCCATTAAAATCCCGTCATTCCGTTTGTCATGCGCCGATCAAGGCCGTGAAAATATCATTGTCGAGGCGTTCATATTTGACGTTCGTTCGCACGATTTCCAGATATGACGGCCGTTAATTGGTTCTCAATAAATGTTTGCAAGGTACGGTGACAGTCCAATAGTGACGTATTAAGGAACATATGTACTGAACAGAGAAATTGTGCTGTCTAGAACAGTCATTTCGACTTGAAATACATCAACAGCTAGCAGTGAGCTTTTTTATCTCCGGTCGCCCGCGCCGCCGTAGGTCGGCATGCATTGTTCCCAAAAAACCGCCGGTAATCCGGAACCAGAAAAGCTAGAAAACGTTTCTGTTGTCAAAACACACGCAATTTGATGTCTATGGGCCATTGAAAATTTGGGCACGATTGTACAGCAAGCCGGAGAGGCATCCTCAAAAACCCTTAGAGTGTCGCATCGAACCTTGTCTGAGGGAGGGTTATATAATCTCACACCCACCGCCTGATGGGCAGACAGTTCGCTGGGCCGCCGCGCAGCGGTGATCGGGGTTTTGCCCCACTGATGCGAGGTTTACATAACCGGCCGACAGTACTCCCACAATAACGTCGTTGCGCGAGGATGCCTCTCCCTTTCAGAAGTAAAGTCACTTCAAATTGGACGAGGCATCTGTTGCCAGTTGCCGGACGACGTGTCTACTGCCATCACGCAGTCATTGAGTGATACGCTGTTGGAGGTCGAGCGAATACAATCGAAACAAAAGTTCGACGCGTGCGTTGTGCTGACTGATGACAGCCCTGTACCAGCGTCATCGAGTATACCCAAATGCAACCTTCGGATTGGATTACGAATATTCTCACGAGCAGCCGTGTTATGACCATCAGTGTACGTGCGAGCTGGACGCCGCTGGCGAAGCGCTGTCAAGCTGCCCCTTCAGGCCCGCAAACATTCAGTGATTCGAAGTCGGCGGGGCGACGAAATACAATCGAAACCGAAATCTGACGCGTGTTTCACCGGCAACTGATAGCTCTATACCGGCGCTAGCGAATGCATACATAGGCAGTTCTCGGTTTTCAAGTAAACATTTTTCCTGGGCCGCCATTGTCATCACTAAATATGTAGGCGGGCCACCGTTAGCTCCGCGCTGTCAAAGGGTGATTGGATGTCATCGCTAAATATGTAGGCCGGGCCACCGTTAGTTCCGCGCCGTCAAAGGATGATTGGATGTCATCACTAAATATGTAGGCCGGCCACCGTTAGCTCCGCGCTGTCAAGGACGATTGGAACAAAAAAGGTTATGTCCGCCGGTGCGATATTTTCGATCCCGGTCGACAATTGCTTCTACAATAACATCGCTGCTGCTAGATTGCACGTTCCGCGCAGAAGCACAAGTTTTTCAAATATTTTCGCATAGAAATCATTCCGATGCCACCTCTACGAGTGCACTAATACGCGGTATTCCAGCTTGACCATAAGTATTTTCCCGGGCTTTTCCCTGCATTCTCGAGATAGCTGTACGCACTGTCACGCCGTCGTTTAGCTCTCCGCTGCCACGATGATGATGATGATGATGAATGATGATGAATGATGATGAACAAAAAAGGCGACGGTTACCGAATAAAAGTTCTTATTGCCGGCCGATCGCATTAACAACATGACGTCATACAGAAAGATTGCACCTTCCTGACACAAGTAAAAGCATTTCAAGTCGGGCGCCGTTACAGAAATGTTGCACCTTCCTGGCACAAGTAAAAGTATTCAAGTTGGACGCCGTGTCTTCGCAAACCACCTCTCCAACCAGCCGGCCCTACATTGAGTGATGCACTTTCGGGGATCGACGGGAGGGATCGACGGGAAACATTCGAAGGAGAAATCGCAGGAGCGTGCTTTGCTGGCAGGCAACAGGCATGTACGAGTGCAATCGAATGCACCAGTCGCAATATTGGGTATGTTTCTAAGTATTTTTCCCTGGTGGCCATATTATGGCCATCACTCTTCGTGCACGTCCGCCGCAGTTAGCCATGTAATCACGAGGTGATTTCAACAAAAAGGGGCATGTCGGCGGAGGTTAAAGCAACATACAAAAACACCTGGCACCTTCGTTGTGCTAGAAGCTGAAAGGCCTGCATAAGTGCTATCGAATACACACAGCCATAATCTTCGGATTACGGCTGCGTGGCAAGATTATAATTATCTGTCCCGGCCCGCCGCATTATGATAACCTTTTCTGTCCTCTCGTCGACGTAAGGGGCGACAACGGTCACTCAGTATCACACTTCAGCACACTAAGACTTTAACTTATATTTAAATGGCTCTCATCATTGTATACAAAGCACTTTAAAATAACAAAATACAAAGTGCGAGACGGATAAAATTTCTCTACGAAACTAAAAACGGCGAAGCGGGCACTGCGACTATAGCAGGGGCGCCGGCGGCGGTTCATAGCAGGCGGGCGGCCCGCCGGCCCGCGGGCGACGATCATCACAGTGCCGCACCGCCGTCTCTCCCGATCGTACGGCTTGGACTCGGCACTCACGCGGCGGCGGCTCCGCAGTAAAACTAGGCGTCCAAGCGCGCACCAGATGAGCGTCGCCTACCAGCTCAGAAAAAAAATAACGCAAGCGTTGTCTACAGAGTCTCTCACGCGGCGTCGGCGCAGGCGGAAAGGGGGCCGTCGGCGCGGGCCATCCACCCGGGCACGGATAATGATCCGCTCGTCGTCGCTCGCATCACATGTTCTCCGCCACCGTCGACTCGTACACCTTTTGAAACACGTCCGCGGTCGGCTCGGCCTCGTCGCGGGCGAGGATGACCTCGTCCTCCTCCTCCTGCCGCTCCCGCTCCCGCTCCCGCTCCTCCTCCTCCTCCTGCTCCAGCGGCTCCAGGTTATCGTCCGCGTCACGCGGCTCGGGGCTGCCGCCGTTCGTCTCGGCTGGTGTGTTGCCCGGCCGCGGTGCGGCGCCATTGGTGCCGTTGCTGGCCGAGTGGTCCGTGTGGCTGCTGCTCCAGTGCTTCGTCCGCGACTCGAGGCCGAAACCCTCGTCGTAGTTGCCCTTGGTCTTGAACATCTGCTTGAAGTGCGGCGTGCAAAATAGTTTCCCTGCATTAAATGTGTAGGTGTCCATTCTGAAATGAGGACAGACGCGGTCAGCAAACCAAAGCCCAGTGCTCCAACTACTGCCCCTGAAGACGACAAAGCGCGCCAGAAATTTCGCGCGCACCGTATAGAACCGCGCCATTATACGTCACGCATACCGCACTGGCTTGCGTCAGCGCCCGTTCGTCCGCCCTGCGCACTTCGCACACAACTTGCGGCGTAACTTGTTACTAGAGACGTGTCTCAGCTGAGTCCCTCATAAAGTCGCGATCCACCACGCGCCCCGCGCGGCGCTCCAAGCCCCAGCATTACATCCGTACACTGCCGCCGCCACCCGCGGCCCTACCTCAGCACGCAGTTGCACTTTGAGCAGCGGAAGCAGTTCTTGTGCAGGATTCGCTTGTCGACCTCGAGCCGCTCCATGGCGTAGACGCGTTTGTTGCAGGCGTCGCACATCTACAGCCGCCTGATTCGGCTCCATCTGGGGACGCCGCCGGGTGTCAGCGCCAGAAGTCACGAGGGTAGAACGTGAGACGTCTCGTGGGGTCTGACAGACTAATGCACGGAAGAGGGGACGGATGTAGCTGCAGGGGGAAATAGGTGACTTCCAGAGGACCCCCTCCCGGGGAAGGAATGTGCGCGGATATATAAATTCTTGTATGTATATCTATATATATATATATATATATATATACACATATATATATATATACAACATATTTAATGCATACACATTAATACAATATCAATATCAATACCCAATATATAATATATATATATATGAATGTTATATTATATATAGAAAGATAGAGACATATGTATATTATATGTGATATATGGTATGAAGTCGCACCGAATCACTGAACGACATTCGGGCTCGGGCGGACTAAAGGCGCGGGGAATAACGTCACTCTTGATAAGAAATTTCGTGGGAAGACCATGACAGGTATCGTTACGGGGTTATCAAGCCGCGAAGCTGAACGCCAACTCGGGCGCAAGCGGCAGGAACACAAGGGCGAGGGTGGATTCAAATTGAACAAAAAAGTTCTTGCAAACGGCACAGCAAGAATCTCAAAACGCACTTGGTTTTGAAACACCGGGGACAACAAACCACACCTGATACACCCAGCAGACAGAACGACCCACACGAACGCAGAACATCAATGCTCGTCTCAGCTGCAAGCCGCCGATACGGAACGTTCGCACCTGAAAATGCCCAACAGGAAAGCGCAGGCAATTCTAGTACCGTAGTTAGCTAACAGCTGAGTCAGAGCCAACAGCGGCGGGTGGGCCTCGAGCTCATGCCACCGGCCCGCGCGTCACGTGACCACGTGCGTACTCGGCGGTACGGTCACGTGTCACCAGTCTGAAACAAGCTGAGGGCTACGGCTACAGGTGTCGGGTGAAGGGTTAGAGCATGCGGGGGAGGCGCGCTCAGAAACAACTTACTTGTCTGTTACCCGTCCCCGTCTGTCTGGAAATCTGTCGTGCAGTTGTCAAAAAGCTGTCGAGAGTGCAAGGAATGTGCAGATATGTTGTATTAGAAAGGCACGCATTTACAGATGGCGCTGTGTCCAGTTGCGAAAGTGCCAGAAAGCGCGAACGCGAAGAGAGGCGCAGCGATATTAGCGGCTTATCGTAGCGCGCAACAACCATGAACATGTTCAACCGTCCTCGCTTCCACACAACGACACACAACACTCGAACAACACTCGCAGCGTCCGCGTCTGCACAGTTTGGTCCCACGCCAAGCGCCGTCCGACATCCCGTCATCTACGCCCCGCAGCGCGCCCTGGCGGCGCGTCCACAGTCGGAGCGGACGCCGGTGGGGCGCGCTGCGGCGGCGGCCCGCGCGGGAGCGGCGTGCGGCGTTCACTGGGGGGCCAACAGACCGGGTCAGCCCAGCGGAGGGGCGCCGGCAGGGGGCGCTCGCGCCACTGCAAGCCGGGTCAGGGTCGTCCGTCGAAGCGAAGGTTTGAACGAAGGATATAAATGGCGAATCAATCACAACTCTTAGGACACATCTTGAACACCAACTAATTATACAACTATCTGAATAGTTTGCAGTTATTCACACAGAATATTGTTTTAAATAAATAAGTTGATATATATATATATATATATATATATATATATATATATATATATATATATATATATTACGTAGATAGACCGTTACGGTATTTTGTCCCGACGACTTTTTGTTTGCTAACATTAGCTCTTTATTCTGTAACTTTTTGCAACGTGCTGGCCTCAACGTCAGCCCTACAGAAGTGCGGTATACTTGTTTGACGTGACACTTCAGAGTGTCATTTCAGACAGTCTGCATGACAGCTCTTGGGAAGAAAATACTTGAAAACTCAGGGTGGAATGCTGGGAGCGAGTTGTGCAAAATGACGTGTTTTTATCAAATATGAGACTGACCTGGCGTCGGTTACAATTGTATCGCGCTTAGTCATCGCAAGACCCAAAGCGCCGGTCACCACAACACTCCAAACACAACCACGATATTGTTACGGTTAATACCAATCATACCGCATATCATTTTAACTGCACGCGTCTATATAACAATTTACACACGGCGGCGTGGATTATTTCAAGCGTTAGACAGTCCCGTCCTGCTACCGCCACCTACGGTTAGCCACCGCACTGTACAGCTGTGAGACGAGCAGGCCGTATTAGTAAACGCCTATTAATCGCTAATCCAGTGGCGACTCCGGTCCACGGGGCTTTCTGGAATGACGCGACAGAGCACACCGACACACACGACTAGAGCACGTCACGTGGGAAGCTGACACCCAGGCCGGGTGACGCCCCACAGGGCTGACCGCTGGCAGCCCGGCCCGCTGCTCCTCAGAAGACGACCAGTGCCAGGCAATACAGCGCAAAGCCCAGCACGCAAGCGGCGCCGGCCGCCTGCAACCCCGGCACCGTCCGACTGAGCAACTACAGCCCCGGCACCGACTGCAACCGACTGCAAACCCGGCACCGTTCGACTGAGGGGGACGAACCGGCACCCCACACCCAGTCTCTGCCACGTCAGTCTCTGTCCTGGCTTTGTAGGCGAGGCAGCAGATCTTCACGATTTAGACGGATTCGCTAACGTGCATTTGGATGGCTTTTCAACACCAGGGGAGCACGGATCGGTTCGCTAGGCACGACGACGGGTGGCGCGGTTCGGACACAGTCGGCTGGCGAGTGGCCACAGCCAGATCAGGCCAGTCAGATCAGGAGATCGCCGCCCGCAGCCGCTGTCGTTGTACATCGATCAGCCCCTTGGAATGCCCGCCGCCCGCCACATGCTTGAAATTCGCACCGGTGCCAGTATTCCCATGAACTGACTATCATCAGCCTGCCCGCGGTAATGCGTGTGTGTGGGGGGGGGGGGGGGGGGGCAGGTCTGTTCCGAGCCCACGCCTGTCCCCAGCCTGACTCCGCAGCCCATCAGGCCGCCACATGTCGGGGAGGACCGCCGCTCAGCCAAAGGCACGGAATTACACCACAAAAGCGAGGAAGCAGCGAGTACAAGAGGGCGCATGTCACTGCCAAAACACCGGTGTGACACAGACGGAGGGGCTGTCTCCCGTCGTGTGACCCACCCACCCGCCTGCCGGCGCCGGCGACCACTCACGATGAAGCGGCTGGCCCGGTGCTGCGGTCTTCTCAGCCGGCTTCTGCGGCTCGTTCAGCGACTCAAACTTGGCGCGCAGACTGCGCGTGATCTCGAGACTGGGCCGACAATCGTCCTCCACGGTGAACTTGTCGTCGCGGCCGGCCGGCGGGCCCCAGCTCTCGAACTTGTCCCGCAGCGAGCGAGCCTGGTCCGTGCGCTGCCGGCGGGAGGGGAGAGTCAGGGCAGCCTTACGGAACGGGGGAGGGGGGGGGGGGAGGGGGGGGGGGGGAGATGGGGGTACGGGCGTCGCCGCCGCGACTGACTCGGGCATTGACGCGAGCTCAGAGTTAGAGTGCGTCGGCTTTGATCGTCTACGGGTAAGCCCAACACCACGACATATATCATCAATAGATGCCATGATTTCCAAAAGAAGGCGGAGATCGCGTACAACCCCACATTCCACTGGTCACGTACATATATTCCTGCATGTAACGTTCTTCGCGACCACAACCTCTGTTGCGGCCGACCCACCCGCCTGGGGTGGCTTCCCCCCCCCCCCTCCGAAATTCCCACTACAGACGCTATCTCACCTTGTTGAGAAACTCGTCGGGCACCTTGTGACTGGCACGGATGATGTCGGGGTCCTCCGGCTCCTCCTCGCTGTCCTCAGCCGCGTCCTCTGGCTCGGCCGGCTCCTGGCGGTGGCGTGAACGACTTGAGCGGGCGCGGGCCTGCGCCGCGCACAACACTGTCACGCTCGTGCGCGGCTGGCAGCGGCGGTCGAGAAGAGCACGCGGTTTGGGCCTTCATGGCTACACGTGCACGAAAACAATCTGCTCCCCGTCACGTAAACATCCAGCCATTCGCACAAACACGGTACACACAAATTCAACTCATGAAATCCGTTTTTTATGGAAAACGACGAGAGACATTCCCGCAAATCAGCTTTATTTAGAGTGCTTTCACATTGACCAGTAACGTCACCGGTGAGAAAGTGCCAAGCCAAACTGTACCAAATCGCATGCATGTGAGATTGCTGTGGGACGACCACGGCTTTTATCGGCTTGGGCTGCAGTGTCTTTAGAAGCCTCACCGTCCGGCAGGTCTTCCTTATGCGCATCTTCCTCCATCTGTCGGAACTTGGACAGGATCTGACGAGCGTTACCGTGCGCCTTCTCGCGATTCAGGCTCAGCTCTGTGACGTCACATGTGCGACCAACCAATCAGAAGTGAACAGAATCACGGCA